TAAGATAGGATTGTAAAGTAATAACAAAGGGGTGGTTCTCTCAATAAATGAAACCAAATCAATTAGATGTCATATAAAATGTAGGTTCATACCTTGAACATCAATTCCAAGTAGATATTAGATCTTAATGTAAAAGGTAAAATAATAAGCTTCTAGAATATTATGTAAGAAAATATTTTCATGATCTGAGGTAATGGAACAATTTCTTAAACAGGTCAAAAAAGCAAATAACCACAAAAGAAGAGATAGAAAACTGAACTAGATTAAATTTCAACAGAAGACCTCATTAAGAGAGTTTTAAGAATGTGATGAAACAGCTCTGGATAATTGGAGACAACAATGCAATACATATAACTGACAGAGAGCTCATATATAAAAGAAAGACCTCCCACAAATCAATAATGAAAAGACACCGAATTTAAAAAAAAAAAAAGGTAGGCAAAAAGAAGCAAACTGGCATCTCAAAAAAGAAAATAGCCAATAGCCACAAGAATGGAGTGGATTTCTATTCTTAAAGAGAAAACCAAAGCTGGTGGCATCACAATTCCAGACTTCAGGCTATATTACAAAGCTGCAATCACCAAGACAGCATGGTACTGGCACAAAAACAGACACATAGTTCAGTGGAACAAAATAGAGAACCCTGAAATGGACACTCAACTCTATAGTTAACTAATCTCCAACAAAGCAGGGAAGAATATCCAATGGAAAAAAAAGTCTCTTCAACAAATGGTGTTAGGAAAATAGGACAGTTACATGCAAAAGAATGAAAGTGGACCACTTCCTTATACCATACACAAAACTAGACTCAAAATGGATGAAAGACTTCAATGTGAGACAGGAATCCATCAAAATCCTGGAGGAGAACAGAGGCAGCAAACTCTGTGACTTCGGGTGCAGGAACTTCTTACTAGACACATCTCCAAAGGTAAGGGAAACAAAGCAAAAATAAACGATTGGGATTTCATCAAGATAAAATGCTTTTGCACAACAAAGGAAACAGTTCTGTTGACTGACAGAAAAGACAACTGACAGAATGGGAGAAGATATTTGCAAATGTCTTATCAAACTCAACACCCAAAGAACAAACAATCCAATCAAGAAATTGGCAGAAGACATGAACAGGCATTTCTCTAAAGATGACATACAAATGGCCAACAGACACATGAAAAAATACTCAGCATGAGAGAAAGACAAATCAAAACCACAGTGAGGGGCGCCTGGGTGGCTCAGTGGGTTAGGCCGCTGCCTTCGGCTCAGGTCATGATCTCAGGGTCCTGGGATCGAGTCCCGCATCGGGCTCTCTGCTCAGCGGGGAGCCTGCTTCCCTCTCTCTCTCTCTGCCTGCCTCTCCGTCTACTTGTGATCTCTCTCTGTCAAATAAATAAATAAAATCTTTAAAAAAAAAAAAAAAAAAAAAAAACACAGTGAGATACCACCTCATACCAGTCAGAATGGTTAAAGTTAACAAGTCAGGAAACAACAGATGTTGATGAGATTGCAGAGGAAGGAGAACCCTCTTACACTGTTGGGAACGCAAGCTGGTACAGCCACTCTGGAAAACAGTATGGAGGTTCCTCAAAAAGTTAAAAATAGAGCTACCCTACAATCCAGAAATTGCACCACTAGGGATTTACCAAAGATATAAACGTAGTGATTCAAAGGGGTACCTACAACCCAATATTTATAGCAGCAATGTCCACAACAGCTACATTATGAAAAGTGCCTAGATGTCCATTGACAGATGAATGGATAAAGAAGATGTGGTATATTATATACAATGGAATATGACTCAGCCAACAAAAAAAAAATGAAATCTTGCCATTTGCAATGACATGGATGGAACTAAAGGGTATTATGCTATTTGAAATAAGTCAATCAGAGAAAGACAATCATATGATCTCATTCATATATGGAATTAAAGAGACAAAACAGAGTATCATAGGGGAAAGGAGAGAAAAATAAAATAAGATGAAATCAGGGAGAAAACCATAAGAGACTCTTAATTATAGGAAAAAAACTGAGGGTTGCTAGAGGGGAGGGGGGTGGGGGAAAGGGGTAACTCAGTGATGGACATTAAGGAGGGCACATGATGTAATGAGCACTGGGTATTATATAAGACTGATGAATCACTGAACTCTACCTCTGAAACTAATAATACACTATATGAAATGAGATGGGGGAAATTGGAGGGGGAGGCAAATCATGAGAGACTGTGGACTCTGAGAAACAAACTGAGGATTTTGGAGGGGAGGCGGTTGGGGTTGGGTGAGCCTGGTGATGGGTATTACAGAGGGCACATATTGCATGGAGCACTGGGTGTGGTGGATAAACAATGAATTTTGGAACACTGAAAAGAAATAAAATAAAATGGAAAAAAAATACACTATATGTTAATTAACAGAATTTAAATTAAAAAAAAAAATAGAATGGAGTGTATTCCTAACAGACAATTCTGTTGGAAATTGGAGAAAAATATCAATGATGTGATAAATAAGGCCCATATCAGGCCAAAAGATGAGAAACTCTAGAAAAGACAAAATGTGAAAAATGCTCATCATCTAGTAATAATGAAGATGCAAATTACACCATGATGAGAGACTATAAACACCTAACACAATGGCTATAATTGAAAGACTAATAATACCAAGTATTGGAAATGATGAAAAGCAACATGAATTCTTCTGCATTGCCAGTGGGAATGTAAATTAATGCAATCACTTTGGAAACCTGTTTATCAGTATCTACCAGATGAAGGCATGTAGGAATTACACTATATGTTACATACCAACAGAAATGCATTTACATATGCACTAAAATCATGAATAAGATTACTCACAGCAGTCTTATTTGTAATAGCCCAAAACTTGAAATAATTCAAATATCATAACATGTTAAAATACACTGCAGCAAATCCATACAATGGTATACTAAAGAGCAATAAAAATGAACAAGCTGGAAGTACTTGACATAACACCTAGAAATACCATAACCCTAAGTATTAGCAAAGAACAGACACACAAAACCATGCCCTATAGGATTCCAATTCTGTAAAAAATTCAAAGCGGTCAAAATTAATTTATGGGGTAAAAAGTCAAAATATTCATCTTCAAAAAAGGAGGAGTAGCGATTAGGACAGGGAATGAGGAGGCTTCTTGCGCACTGGTAATGTTCTATTTCTAGATTTGGGTGGTGGTTACATGGGCCTGTTCACCTTGTAATAATTCACTGAATTATATGCATGTACTTTGCTGTAAGTTAACTACACCTTCAAATTTAGAAAATTAAGAATTTTTTTAAAAAAAGATAAAGCTCCAGCAGGTTCTGCTGCCAGGTGACAGGTTCTACTCTAGACTATGTGAGAAGAGCCAGAAGATCATTCAGTAAGTTATAAAAGGATCTGGGAGCTACATTCTTCAAAGTACGTGATCAGTTCCTGTTTAGATAGTATGTACATCAGACAACGGCATAGACTTCTTGCGGTGTGAACCACTGCAATAAACTAAAAAAGGTTCCAATGCGTTAACCTCAGAAAACACTTTTTCTTTGAAGTATGATAGTTAAAGTATTTTAGATTGGCACAACTTAAACTGAAGGTCTTAGTATGCTTTGAAAAATCTAGGACTTCATGTAAAAAAAACAAGTATCCCATTTCCTGATCACATAACAGCATCAGTTGACCTATCATCAGATACTGACTGCAAAGATTTTTTTCTATTTCAACAGAAGACAGTACATTATATCTTCATCTTTCTGGGTGCTTCACGAAGAAATCAGCACCAAAAGCACAAGAGGAATATGCTTTTATGAGGCCAGATGTTTATTCAAATTTCTGAAACGGGCAAATTTCACTGCAAGTAGAGTAAGTTAATCTCTTTGAAAATAAAGGATATCCATTTCTTAGCATATATGTCCAATGAATTCAAACTCCAAAATAAACTCAACATATCTGGGACGCCTAGGTGGCTCAGTGGGTTAAAGCCTCTGCCTTCGGCTCAGGTCATGATCCCAGGGTCCTGGGATCGAGCCCTGCATCGGGCTCTCTGCTCGGCGGGAAGCCTGCTTCCTCCTCTCTCTCTGCCTGCCTCTCTGCCTCCTTGTGATCTCTATCAAATAAGTAAATAAATCTTTAAAAAAAAAAAAAAACTCAACAGATCTATGTAAGGGACTATAAACACAATAAAAACTGCAGAAAAAAAAATCTGCCTATATTTTCAGTTTGAATAAAACATGTTAAGAAAAATATTCTGTCTGCTACCATTCCTGGTCTTGAAAAAAAAACAAAAGGTACTCTGGGATAAAAAAATACACATTGCTCCTGAAGTTGGTAAATTTCCAAGTTTAGTTAACAATTGCTATTGATTTTTTTTCTCCTAAAAAAGCAAAGAGTTGCAACTGAAGATGCAAAGAAACAGACATTGTATGTACTTCATTTTTCACTTTAATTCCATCAAGAATAGTGATTAAAAAAAAAAAAAACACGAATAATGACTGTCAACAATCTGAGTTTGAGATAAATAAAACTTGAGAATTAGGGGTATTTTCAATTGGCATCATGTCAAACAACAACAGACAGCCAGGTCTTTGCAGCAATTATGATTACACATGCTTGTGAAATGAAAATACTAAAAATACTTAAAAAATGTAGAGTGCTACAGAGTCACTACCAAGAAATTCCGTATTTCAAACATCATTTAACAAAAGCCATGGAATCGCTGGGTCTCTTTTGAATATTCATAAGGAAACTCTAAAAATTAAACAAATAATAATTCTATCTCTGTTATCACTGTAAACATTTAAAAACTATAATACCCAAATTCATGAATATTTTATAAGAAGTACAAGAATAGATTTTAGACAAAATGACATATATCGCCCAAAAAGTTAAAATCTATGAAACTTCACTGTGATTATGACAAACCCAGCCACACTACCATCTGCATATGAAATCGCTTACTTGTTTTTTTTTTTACTTATTTATTTTAACAAAGAGTTCTTACCACATCTTGTTTTTGGGCTTCATTAAATTTTTCTGTCAATTCTTCCAAAGCTCTTTTTGTTTCAGCATCCGACCTAGGGAAAGAAAAATATTTTAAGTTGGCTATTTGAGAAAGTATATACAATTAGCTAAATTTACAACATAATAATGTTATTACATAATACTCTACTGCAGTGGTTCTTAAACATTAGCCAACATATGAAATACCTGGAGGACTTAGGATGGATTGCCAAACCAACAGATCTGCAATGGTCCCCAAGAATGTGCATTTCTACAAATCCTTAGTTGATGTCAATGGTGCTGATTTGGGAATTACATTTGCGGTACAAGTAAAGCAGAATGAGATCCTAAAATCTTAATTCACAAAATTAAGTCACCAGGTTTCACAAGAAATTTGACTCCTAATTTGGCTTAAGTCAAATTAGGCTTAAGTTTCTCTGCCTCACTCGCACTTGCGTCTGGGTCAAACTATTACTAGACCGTACCAGCCCACGGATAGAAGATTCCCAGTCCACCACTGCACAGTCAAATGATCATTTAAACTAAATAAGTAAATCATCTCTACAACTTCCACTTTGTCTTCTTACAGGACAAATACCTAAAAATTCATGTTCCTAGTGCTTAATTTATACCCTTTCTTCAAATATGTAAAAGCCACAGAATAAAGCAATCTAAGAACATACTTTACTACGATGTTGACACCATTCTGCTCATTTTATCAACTTGTCAAAACTAAATACCTAGTTTTAAATTAACTAACCCTTACCAGCTTAAAAGAATAATAATAAATATAGCTCAACAATATATCTCAGACATCAGGAACTTAATTTCTTTATTCATACCAGCTATATATGAAAATAATCTTGAACCACAGGGTACTATAAGTGGTAAAGAGCAAATACTCTTGGGGCCATATGCCTACATCTGAATCCTGATTAGACCATATCCTCCATTTAAACTCTAGCAAATTGAATTACTTCATCTCTCTGTGCCCCTTTCCACATCCAAAAATTGGAAAAAATAATAATGACTACCTCATTAGGGTTGTTGTAAAATTTAAACCTAAATCTATCTGGCATGAAGTAATTGTTCAATAATATTAACTATTAGTAGTAGGAACAACAGTTAAGGTATTTAATTCTTACTACTAAATTCCCTGCCTTCCTCATTTAAAAGCAGATGAATTATACAGACTACAGTTGATCACAGATTTACAACTATAGCTTTCACCCTTTTTGCTATAGCAACACAAAACATGCATGGAATGATTCTATTAGATGGAATGGGAGTCAGCAAGTAGACTTGGTAAAGAAACTTCCACTCAGCTTTGTTGTTCCCTCATCACTGCTGTATATAGAGTATGACTCTTGAGAAGGGATAAAAAGTTTGGTTTCTTCTAAAAATAAGCCTCCAAATGAAAACCGACTATCACTGCTGATGATGAAAATGAAAAGACAGTGAAGAAATTTTAAATAAAGTGATACTTGTTGGGGACGACCCAGAATTGATAAAACTGCAAAGACCTTTCAGATATAAACCACTCACTTTTGAGGATTTCAACTGAAAGCTAAAATATCAGATTGGACTCTGCCTGTCTCTCACCCCCTCCAATGTATTTGCAAATCGACCTCTTTACTAAGGTCTCACAATGCATCTCTCTGTAATGGCAACACTCAGTAGAGTAAGTTAAAGTGTTCTTAAAAATATGAAATTAGGGGCGTCTAGGTGTCTCAGTCTGTTAAGCATCCACCTTTGGTTCAGGTCATGACCTCAGGGTCCTGGGATCAAGCCTTGAATCGTTGGAGTCCCCGCTCACGAGAGAGTCTGCTTGTCCCTCTCCCACTTCTCTCCCTGCTCACGCCTGAGAGCATGCGCTGTCTCTAATAAATAAGTAAAAATCTCTAAAAAATATATGGAATTAATTTTTCTAACAAGGAGTCATGGTACATTCTAAAATTAAAGGATTTTTAAACTGTTCTATTAATAAATTTTAAAATACTGGTATAAAAACAGCACTGTTTTTTAAATTCATGTAAACATGTCAATTACAGAACTTAATGTGTTCTTCTAATAACTCATGCCTCCAACAAAAACCATATTCTGCTTTTACCGGCTTCTTCTGACAAGCTCCCGATTGAAATCATCTCCAAGCCGAACTTGTTCACTGCTGAGGTCTCGGAGGGACTGATGAAAAGCATGAAGCTGGTAAAGGCAAAACATAGTCATACATTTAGGATTCTGTTTAATTCTTCCATGAAGATTCACTGAGGTTGGTAAGAACTTATTTTTTGCACTAATGCCCAAATTTTATACTGTTATTAACACATAATAAAACATATGTCTATTCTGAAGGAAATATTTCTCCAAAGAAAAACATTTTTTTAAAGTTATATAAAACTTCTTATATATAAACCATCACATCCTTTATAGTACAGTAATTCTGATCCTTTTAGATACCCCAGTAAAAAAGAAGTCAGCAAACTTTCTGTAAATAATACAACGGCAAATATTTCAGGCTTTCAGACTATGTGATCTCTGTTAAAATTACTCAGTGCTGCCACTTGTAGCACAGAAGTAGCCATAAACAAATGAGCATAGCTGTGTTATACAAGAACCCTGTTCCATGCCATGGTACGTCAATCCATGCTACAGAGAAACTCTTGCCAATCTGCACCAGGAACCACGTATAAGAATGTTTGAAGCAACACTGTTCATAATGGAAACACCAAATATAACCCAAAAGTCCATTAAGAACAGAATGGATATAAATAAATTGTGATATGTTCTCCCAGTGGATATAATACAGCAGTAAAAATGAAATGATGAAACCTACCTACACACTAGTAAGGCTGAATGTCAAAAACATAACATCAATTGAAAAGTAGCAAAAGAAGACATAAAGCATTATTCCACTTATATAAAGTTTAAACACAGGCAATACTAAACAAGATATAAGTAGTGAAAATGTTTTGTTTTTAAAGCAAGAGAATGATTAATATAAAAGTCAGGATAGTTGATAGCCCTTGTACTGATAATACTCTAATTCCTAGCCTGGGTAGTGGTTACATGACTTTTTCTTTAAATTATTGTACTATTAACTGTAAATATGTATACTATATATGTATGTGTATACTATAATTTATAAAAAAAAATGTAAGTTATAGAGATTTGCAGAAACAACAAATTGATTCAACAAATGTGCACTGAGCAACTAATCAGTGCCACCAATTATGGTAGGAAAAAAGGGGCTCAGAATCTAACATAGGAGATAGACATGCAAACAAAATGACAAATGATGAGCAGGGCATTAAGAAAGTACACAGATAATGTGGAGTTACGGATCATCTTAAGAGACTTAAAATCAGGAAGAACAGTTAAAAAGAATTGGGTGTTGCCATGATTTTCCAGTTTTGCAAACCAGAATCCTAGGTTCTGATTCTCATGCCTCCTTTTCAATCATTCCCACCCTCCCCAAATGGTCCTCTGATCTTCAAGACCTTTCATTTTACCCACCAAATAGCTTTTAAGTCTACTGCCCCACCTCGTTCTCTCCAACTCCATTTATCCTAATCCAAGTAACTAGCATCTCACATCCACAATACAGCAATATCCTCTTAATTGGTTTGCCTACACGGATTCCATTTTTCCACACTAGAGATGGAGTGATCTTTTCAAAATAATTGTCACCTCCATACAAGGCTGTGCACAGTCTCGGCCCTTCATACATCTCCGGCCACATGGCCTTCTTCAAGTTGCTCAGAGGTGCTAACTTCCCTCCTGCCAAAGTATTTGTTTTACCTAAAATGACTCACTCAACCTTCAGGTTTCAGTTCCATCAGCGTTTTCTCAGGAAACCTTCCCTGACTGGGGAAAGTCCCTCTACCACACACTCCCATGGCCCTATGCTTTCTGATGTAGCATGCAACTCAGCTCACAATTAAGGGAGTATTTGTGTACTTATTTTATTAATAACTAGCGTCCCCCCCCCCCCGATTACAAGCTCCATGAAAAGGCAAGGTTTTTACTTATTCCTGTTTCCAGGCACAAGCACCGTCTCAGAACACTAGCAATAAATAAACAGAATGAAAGAGTCAATGAATCATAGTAGGATATTGTTCTTAGCTCCAGGCTTCACCATATAATTCACTCTAAAATTGCACCTACTAAAAAAAAAAAATTACACAGTGAAGGAGAAGTTCCTACAAGGTGTCTTCTCATGCACTTGGTTCTGTTAATTCTCTTATGCTATAACAAGTAAAAGCTACAGACGAGTATCCTGACAAACTTTGAGCCCACGATCCTAAAACCACCAAAACATAGATGTCAAAGTCGGCAACATCCTCTAGCCCTTACCTAATCAATTTAGCTACCCTAGGCAACAAGAAACATTTTTTCCAGCTCTTATAGGGACGTTTAAAGAAGCAGAAAAAGAGGGGCACCTGGGTGGCTCAGTGGGTTAAAGCCTCGGCCTTCAGCTCAGGTCATGATCCCAGGGTCCTGGGATCGAGCCCCACATCGGGCTCTCTGCTCAGCGGGGAGCATGCTTCCCTTCCTCTCTCTCTCTCTCTGCCTGCCTCTCTGCCTACTTGTGATCTCTATCTGTCAAATAAATAAATAAAGTCTTTAAAAAAAAAAAAAAAGAAGAAGCAGAAAAAGAAATATATCTGTAAAACCAATACACCCAAAATCTCCAGTGGATACATGAAATATATGAAAAAAGTATAAAAGTTCTTGCTTCTATTAATTAGCTCCATCAGTGATGTAACAATCAAAAACCCCCCCCCGCCCCCCCCCCCAAAAAATCAACAGGTTAACCACAGGGACTAACTTGTTTATATGAAACAAAGTGGCTGACTTAACAGGGTTTGCAGAAGAATGAGCCACCTCACAAGGAAACAAAAACATGACCAGCTAAACTCACCTTTAAATGTTCCATGAAACATCCTCCTCCATTACAAAATTCAAAATAAATGATAATTATTTATTGAAAATAAAAGTTTATTTGGTTTCAAAAAAAAAAAAAAAAAAGATCAAACACAGATTACAGAATAATATAAAGTACCTGGCCCATGTCGTCAGGCTCCCGAACAAATCGGACACCAGTTCTGGACCGAATTCGCTTAGTACCCTGTTGATCCCCATAGTCCTTGAGGGGTGAGGTAGGTGGAAACCGGGAGCTCTCTTTAGAGATGAAAGGAAAAAAAGAGAATAAAACATGCAGGAGAAGAAACAATCTAAAATTTTGTTCAGAAAATACATACACAGGACCTAACCCAAACTATTTCCCAACTATCTTGCTAGGGCCACAAAAGTGGCACAAATCTTCCTCTTAAAGCAGATAAAATGAGCAACAGAAATAACTTGGAGATAGAAAACATCAAAAGTTTTAACTTGCTATGTTTTTCAAAGATGTAATATGGTATTTCCCTTATTTAAAAATAATAAATTGGCAAATAAAAATAATTTTTGTCTTTCTAAAATATAACTTTATACCAATAAAGCAATTTTCAAACAACAAAGTAATCTAAAATTTGAACACTGTTTAAAAATCAATACATTAAAAATAGCTAATTGTATCCAATTTTTAATCCTTATCATGAGCAACAGCAGTATTAACAATGTGGGCTACTAATGTTCACTTCTTCATAAATCACCTCTCTTTACTGCAAACTTTTCTGTTATTTTCTACTCTAAGTCCTTTCCATTCAAATGTGATCTCAGTGTTGTAGGAAAATATTAAGACTAACCACAGGCCAACCAAGAGTTACATCTTTAATCTAGCCTTTGAACTCCAGCTGCACACCAAAGATAAAATTCACCTGTTCTTAACAAGCATCATAGGCTATTTCTTAACCAGAATTTGAAAAACTATGAAGCTGGGAAGAGACTTCTCATCTATAAAGTACACTACAAAGCAAATACTATTTGGGTATTCATTTTGATTAGAGGCAGAAAATTAAATTCAAGTTTTGTCAAGTAAAACTCTATGTAGTCTATGGAGTCTGAGAACAAATGTAATAGAATAACAAAGTCCCACTGAACACATTTCAAAATATTCACCATAAAATCACTGACAACTGCATCTTCTTAATTTCATTTGTATGATATTGTATACGGGTCCTATTTCTCCAAAGATTAAATGTATTCAATATGGACCTCAGAAATACTTGTAAAACAAAAAGAGAGTTTTCAAGACATCTGAAGAGGTTACCTGTCACAGTGCCACCATCAAGGTCACTTGCAGTCAGACTTGTAACAGAAATACTTCTCCCTCCTGAGTTTCTCAATAAACGTTGACTCCGCAGCTGGCCTATTGACTGTTCCAAGCTTTCTTTTAACTAAAGAATATAATGAAGGAAAAGTTATTCTCTCTAAACAATTCTAAATACAAACAGACAAGAGATTTTTAAGCTATTTCTGAAATAATCGGAGTTCCCAAGGAGAATTGTATCAGAAAAAAATTTGGAGTAAGGTAAGTTAAGAACTATAAACATAGAGGGTGCCCAGGGGCTCAGTTGTTAAGCATTTGCCTTCAGCTCAGATCATGATCCCAGACCCTAGGAACGAGCCTCGTGTCAGGCTCCCTGCTCTACAGGAGAAAGGCTTCTCCCTCTCCTACTCTCCCTGCTTGTGTTCCCTCTCTCACAGTTTCTCTCTGTCAAATCAATAAATTCTTAAAAAAAAAAAAAAACTATAAACATATAAACATAAATATTCTCAGAACCAATTCTAGCATCTGGTTTTAAGTAGCATCTGTTGCTACCTATTCCATCTATTAGCAGAATGTGAAAAACAGATCTACTACCTAAGGGCTTACAAAACCAGATTAAATGTCTAACTGATGTGCCACCCATACTTCGCCATATATCTGAGAGAAGAAAGAGAGTCTTCCTCCCCTTTAAATATTCCTTCAGAAGCCCCATGTCTATAACAAACAGGAAACTAACCAGCTATCACAGTAACTGCTGCTATTAAAATAATGTGCATTGTCCAAATGCATATCAGAACATCTTTTTCATTCATTCAAAGACTTCAAATCCCAGAAAACTATGTGGATGTCAGTCTGTTAATACATACTAGGGAATAGAATTGTCCAAATGCCCTCTTCACATTATTAAGGAGTCAGCCAGCAGGGGATATGAGACAACTTTTAGACCTAAAGAGCTAAATTAAGTAAAAAGACACTAACTACAAAGAATAACGTCCAGAGCTGTACACAGCTACAGACCTGAGAAAAGGATACAACTGAAACCCAAAGTAACAAGCGAGTAAAGCTGAGGGAAATCCACATACCCTGAACTGCTGGGCAACTTCAGATCTAGAGATCTTATCCAAAGATAAATAAAACATAATAAAAATAATGCATAGATCCATAGAACAAGTCACCCATAACTCTTTAAAGAGAATGTCAAAACAAATGATTGAAAGGACAGGGTTTCCAAAAATTCAGCCAGAAATAAATAGTAGACCACCACTTATGGAGAGAACAATTTGGTTTCCTTGGGGAACTGTGCAGAAAAAAGTAGCCCCAGTAGAAGAGAAAGCACAAATGAAACAGAATATGAATGACAAATGAGCAAATCCTTTCTCATTTCAGTTATTTGGATTTAGCTCTTCTGCAGAATCAAGGATAACATAGTCTAGATTAAAAGAAATAAAATTTCAGGAATGCACCTCTAATGTTGTTCTCATTTCCGGGGGGTAGGAGGGAGGCTAATATTTCTATACTGTCTCCTGCTTCCCTAAGCTGGGATATGTAAGATCCCATCCTGCCTGAGCATTCACTAGCTACAGGACCCAGCCTATTAAAAATACACAGAGAAGGCCCAGGAAAACAAGGTCTACCCTGAGCATCATTTATACGTAAGTAAAATAAAACTAAATCTAATATGGAAGTAGACCAAAAATTTCATACAGTGAACACTTATGATAAGCTCTGAATACAATTAAACTATATTAAGAAACTCAAATCTAAACTGTAACATGAAAAAAGGACTAGAAGTATAAAATGACTTTAGATCACACAAGTTAGCGACAGAACCAGCTCTATTAACTTTTTCTGTGTTTGTTCTTTATTATTCACATCTTTCAAGTGATGCCTGATGTCAGTATCCCTTTAGAAACAAAGTAAGCTGTGACTTCTTTTTGTTGCTTTTTTTGAGGGTAGTCTGACTTTTTTAGTTCTAATTATTAAGATTTTGTTTGACCCTGATTGTCAATGGTTTTACTGTGATAAAATGATATGAAGTTTTATTTGTAGTTATCCCATTTTTGATCCATAGAGATCATGGAATCTGTACCTTGATATCTTTCCTGTGTTATAAATTCTCAGCCATCATCTCTTCAAACACTGTTTCTGCCCCTTTCTCTCCTCTCTCTCTTTCTGAAACCTTGGTTATATTCAAGTTATCTTTTTACCAAATCCTATATGTCAATCATGCTCTCTTCTACATTATTCATCCTTTCATTTGTCCATTTTTCTTTTTTGAGTAACTTATGTTGGCCAAATTCATTAATTCTCTCTTCAATGTAATACCAACTGTTATTTAATCCATACTTTAATGGGATTGGTTTTAATTTATTTATTTGCTTATTTTAGTTATATTACTCAGTTTCTATAATCTTCATTTAGTTCATTTTTGGAGTTTCCAATTCTTTGTCAAAATTCTCAATCTTGTCTTTTAATTTCTTGAATAAGTTAATCACATATTTTTATATTATCAAGTATGTTTCTACTGTCTGTTCTTTTCCATTGATTTTCAGTCATCTCTTACATTTTCTTATGTGTGGTTATCATGAAATAGACATTATATTTGAAAAACTGTGGTGGTTATTTAAAGCTCTGATGATGACATCTTCCTCCAGAAGGGATTTGGTTTTGCTTCTAGCAGGAAGCCAGGCTACGGTCACTAGGAAACCCAAATAACCTTAATCTAGTCAGGAACCAAGATGATTCAAATCTGGCCTTCTGCCCCATCAGAACAGGTCCATTTTCGGTTCATTACTTCTCTCATTTTCACCTCATCATTTTTCCTAAGCTAGCATTCTTTGGGGTCTCCAGTGAAAACTTGAAGATTCCTTAACTCCAGTTTTGGTCTCCCTGGGCTCTCCAGTATACTGATAGCTTTGATACTATCCTCTCTGCCTCTAACCATCTCTTTTGAAATCAGCTACTGCCTTAAGGGAAGAAGAGTCACAAATGCACAACTCATCCTTCTGGACTTCCATTTTTGACAGATCTTTACAAGATCCAGACTATAATATTCTTTACTTGCTTGGTTGTTCTCTGATAGATTCATAATTTTATTTATTTATTTATTGCCTTTCTAGTTGTTCTGAATAGGATAGGTTATCCAAAATAATCTTCCTTACCAATGCCAGAAGCAGAACTTGCCATCATCCTTTTCATGTGGGCTTACTGCTAACAAATCCTAAGCTGTAGCTAAAAGCTGATGAATAAAATGAATTCACACACACACACACACACACACACACTCCCTACTAATAACAACAGTAACAAAAAACCATCATGGAACCACCTGGAAAATATTACAGAATAAGAGAAATGATCCATTACCCCAAAACCTAGAAGTAATAACAGATGTTGGAAATTTAATCATTTCATAAATGAGATAAAAAGTTAGACAAACTATTTGGCAACCTCATTTTAAAATTCTAAAAAGATCTATCATACACCACTGAATAGATGAACAGGTTGATATATAAATACCAAAAACTATAATGTAAAAGGTAAACGAGATAAATAATTAATCATCCTGTAAATATCATGATAAAAACAGGTCCTCTACCTAAAATACAAAACTGAAAATATAACTGAATTATAATCTACACTTAATGGGACATCTGGGTGGCTCAGTTGGTTAAGCATCTGCCTTGGGCTCAGGTTATGATCTTGAGTCCTGGAATCAAGCCCAGTGTCCAGCTCCCAGCTCATTGGGTGTCTGCTTGTGCCTCTCCCTCCGACACTCCCTCCCAACACTTGTGCTCTCTCTCTCACTCTATCTCAAATAAATAAATAAAATCTTTAAAAAAAAATCTACACAAAGTAGCAATAACACAAGAGATACTACACAAAATCTAATTGTGATGTATGAAACTGATCTGATAACTCCTAAAACATAAAAACAAACAGATAAAGAAAAAATAAAATTATAAAAATTGTTTTAAATTCTTTAGGATTTTGGGGTGCCTGGGTGGCTCAGTGGGTTAAAGCCTCTGCCTTCGGCTCAGGTCATGATCCCAAGGTCCTGGGATCGAGCCCCGCATCGGGCTCTCTGCTCAGCAGAGAGTCTGCTTCCTCCTATCTCTCTCTGCCTGCTTCTCTGCCTACTTGTGATCTCTGTCAAATAAATAAATAAAATCTTTAAAAAATAAATAAATAAATATATAAATAAATTCTTTAGGATTTTAACCCCTAACTAGGTCCTAAAGCAAACCAAACTTGAAATGAAATTTTAAAAAAATTAAAAAACACTAATAAAACTCAATTTAAGATTAATTTACTTTACTATGATGGATGATGTTATTTTGCTGAATGCTAAACCAATGCTCCACACAAGACTGTGGTACTGACTCCAATGGTACAGGTTCTAAGAGTTTAGAGTGGCTATCTGTGCAGGTACCAAATGATGATTCCATTTTCCACCTATTTCCCTTATCTGAAAGCCTGTAAAAGCAGCATCATAGAAAATGTTATGCCATATTTTTCACCTCAACTTGAGATGAAAGTATTATTTATATATTAGGTCTATTCATTTATATGCATTCATTTGATATTAGACTACAATAACTGAAACATTACTATTATGTACTAGTACAAATACAAATAAAACTTGGGCACTGAAATTGAATGGCAATTATAAGGTGGTTTACCCAAATTGTCAAAACATATTCTTAAACTTAGAAGTCCAGAAGCCTCCCTCTAGGCAATGATAAAATAACTTGAGCATCAATGGTAATATTAACTACAATGGATTCAAACACTTCAAATATGCATAAATTTGTGAGTTAATGATCCCCACGCTGAAAAAAACCCCTGGTCACTACTAGAGCATGCTAGCAAATCAACTCATTATTTTGGAAACTAGTAGATAAATGAAATTGTGTAAAACCACCAAAGCTTTTAGATTAACATTAAAATAAAAATATCAGGGTGCTGGGTGGCTCAGTCGGTTAAGTGTCTGCCTTCAGCTTGGGTCATGAGCCCAGAGTCCTGAAATTGAGCCCCACATCAGGCTCCCTGCTCCCTCTCCTTCTGCTGCTCCCCATCCTTGTGCTCTTTCAGTCTGTCATATAAATAAATACATTCCTTAAAAAT